ACAGAGAGACAGTAACCTCATAGCCCTCTCCAGCTGCGCTGTCAGCATGTGTCATCCTTTGCCTCGCTAATACCTTTGCTGGATGCTCTCCTGTCAGCTGGAAGAAAGGTCCTGTCATTGTCCACGCTGAAGGGCTGCCCTGAGCTTTGCTGCTCAGACTGGGGTCCCCGTTCAGCGCTCCCGCTCCCCTGAAGCACCCGGCCAGCAGATTTGCTCTCTTTGCAAGGCTCAAAGCCCGGGCTGGTGCACAGAGCATGGGCAGGGCTGCCGTGCTGCCCTGCTCCCCTTAGCCCCCAACACGTGGGGTTTTTTTCCAAAGTCCTGGGGCTTGCTTCAAAGGTCACGGAAGAGCAGAGTTTGCACAGCAAGGATTCCTCCTATAGCCAGGGCTGGTATCGTATAGCAAACCACAGTAACCCCAGCTGGACAGCATCAAGTTCCTGGCCATTGCGTTGCTGGTTCTTAAGTCTCAAGGCACCTTAGCTTGTGCTATGGCTCTAAGGCTCTTAAAAAAAGAAAACAAGAAGGGAGGAGTCCTGGATTTCTCAATATTTTGGGGTTAGCAGAGAGGAGGGAGCTCGGCTGTAGAGCAGGCCTTGGAGGATGTGGAGCCTGCTCATTGCAGTTGGACACATGGCTCTGCTTCAAGGTGACCTCTCTGTTCTGGTGCAGCACATCTTGTGTGCTGCTGGAGGAATGGTCCCTTTCAGTCACACCGCTGGTGAGCTTGGTCCATGCCAGCCTCATCCTCTGTCAGGGATGGAGACCAGGTCTCAGCTCATGTGGAGCTCCAGATGGATCCGTGCAGGAGAAGGTGATGCACTGGGCTGCTGCAGCTGATGAGTGTGGTGCGAGGAGGAGGTTGCCTGAGCTGCCCTCCTCTGGGAAAGGGGCCGGTGCCAGCAAAGCTGCTCTACATCTGCACTGTAAGAACTTTCACCGGTGCAACCCAAATCAGGTGCTGCTGTTGACAGGCACCGGGCTCAGGGGGACAAGCCAGTCTGGTCTAATTTGGCAAATCCTGTGTTGCCCCAGTTTCCCTGCTTAGCTGAGCCTGCTGCACAGCGCGTTTGGCTTCCCGAGAGGAAGGCAGGCTCTGTGGCAGCCCACGTGCTGGAGCTCGCTGGTGTTTACTTGTACAAAGGGTGAACGCCCTTGGTTTACCCCGTGTTTGCTGAGGCTCAGGCACGTGTTCAAGTAGTTATTGCGTAGCGTGTACTGCACGGCCATCTCACTCCGTGCAGCATGTTTGCATGCCCCAAGCTGGGATGGCTTAACTCTCTGCAAACTTGGCCGTTCATTCTCACTTCTTGTCTTTTCTGTCACTTCCTAGGTCTGGAGCTGCTGAAGAACTGGTGTGTCAAAGGGTACCACACTGGGGCAGGGACGGATTTGGCCCAGGCGGTGCGTATGGCTGTGGGTAAGCTAGGGGTGAGGTGGCTCTTTGCCTGGGCAGAGTTGGGCTGGTTGTTCTGCTCCCTACGACTCCTGCCCTACCTGTTTGCCCTCTTCTTCCCGCTCTGCCGAGGCCTGCGGGAGTCTGCAGAAAAACCCACGCTTCTCTTATCTCCCACCAACATGAAGTCCACCCAGTATATCAGATCTGCAAGTACTTTGCATCTGAATATCCCTGGGTGCAGTGGGCACAGCCCTACATATTTTGCACCTGGCCTTCCCTTTATTCCCACCCCCAGTGAGGGAGCCATCTCCGTCTGTCGCTCCTGTGCCTTACAGCAGGCTGCTCCAGTGAAAGAAGCCCACTCTTTTGACCTCGAGATGCTCTGCTCCCATTTACAGCAGAGGGATTCATTAAGCAGAGAGCAAAGACTGCTCTGTTTGCTATTCTGGGAACAGTCTGGTGGCAGTGATGATGCACAGCAGCGTGAGGCGGTTGAAGCTGAAGTGCAGTAGGGCAGCCTACAGCAGAGCCCAGCAGGCTTGAGGGGGTTTTTGCCACGACTTAAATAGCCATTTGGTTGTCTTTCTTTCCTCCTGCAGTGGTCGTTGCCAAAGTCTTTCTTCCTCCAGAAGAGCAGTGTTCAATCAAATGGCTTCAGTAAACTGGAACTGGGCAGACTGGGGTGAGTTTGCACTGGCCGTGACGTGCATGATGTTCACAGGGTTGGTGTCCTGAGAGAGAACTGGCAGCAGGGAAAGCAGCTTTGTTTGAGGGGAGAGGAACAGGTTGCCTTGCAGGCTCTGAAGCCAGCCTCCGCTCTCTGGAGAGCCAACTGGTGGGGCTGGCATGATGTCTACGCAACTGGGCATGTCTCCTTGGCACTGCATGCCCAGCTCAGATGGGAGTGAGGCCCAGAACAGCCGGACTGGGTGACGTGTGGCATTGTCATGGTCAGGACAAGCTGACAGGATGTTCCCCACAGGGACCAGCACCACTTCTGTGGGCTCTGATGTCGCCACCACCAGCTGCTGCGTGGTGCTGAGGGAGGAGTGAGACCTCTGGGGTGGCTGCCCTCTGCCAGCATTCCTGAGCAAAGTTGGGTGCAAAATAGCTACTGCTGGCCCTGACAGCCTTCTGCAGAGAGGTGGAGGACTGGGGTTCACCTGGGTGAGCTGAAGTGGAGGGCAGGCTCATCCCTGGTCTCTGGTGTTAAGGGAAAGAGCATCCCCACTCCTGTGCCCAGGCCAGGATGGAGTTAGGTTTATGTACAGCCAGGGAGATCGAGCTGTGACCCTAAAGTGCTGTCACTGTCTTGGGTGCCTGTTGGGGTGACTGATGCTGCCCAGGGTAGGGGGTGGAGTAGGTGAGCCTGGCAGCCCCATCTCTGAGCCTGTGTATGATGATACCACAGGTGATGATCTTACGGGTCTTTTCCAATCTAAGTGATTCTATGAACATTGCACTGCGGCCCTTTTGATCCTTTCTCGCTGTCCCTAAGCAGCATGGGGTCTCCTTTCTCCTGCAGCACACTCCTCCCTTCAGCCGATGAGGACCTCACGAGATGCCTGGAGTCCAGCTCTGCTCAGAGCTTACCTCTCAACAAGTGCACTGGTGGAGCCGACCAGAAACCTGCTGGCTGCCTCTCGGACACTGCCCTGGTGATGTGACTGGGCAGCCACCGTCCCTCCCTGGGGACACCTCGACCTACCTCAAAGGAAGAGACAGGAGCTGGCTCCAGAGAGCGAGGACTGTGGGAGCCCCCTGTGCTGCACACTTGCTCGTGGGGCTGTTTTTGGAGAGGGATGTTTTCTTGGGCAAAGGGGAGAGCTGTGTGACTTCCATTTTTAACAGAAATAGCAAAGCCTGGGGAAGCGGGGTTTGTCTGGGCTTTGTCCTGGGCTGTTCTTAAATCCTGATGTGGTGGTGGTGTGGTTTCTTTCCTGCGTGGGAGCTGGCTGGGCTAGGAGTCAGCCTGGCCTTCCTGCCCACGACCAGCACAGGCTGAGCCCTTGCCCTCCCGTGTCTCTGTGCTCTTGTCCTGAGCTGCTGGGAGCCAAGTCTGCTCCTGCCCTGCTGCGGCCTGGCCCTGGAGAAGAGTCCCCAGCCACCACCCTACTTCTCCGGAAGGAGCAGGGCTTGGGACTTTCAACTGACCTGTTCCATCCTTTCTGAACGCCTCTGCCAACATCCTACCCTCTCTCCCGGCCTCAGGGCCTTGGGGGGCAACGCCAGGCTTGCACATGGCTGCTGGAGAGAGACCACGGCTGGCAGCAAGGCTCTGGTTTGTCATGGGACAGGAGGGCTGCCAGGGAAGGAGCATCCTCTTGAGGCTGTCGGCTCTCCCGGGTGACCTGCAACATGCGTGTGGGGACTGCAAGCTGGTGCTCTTCTCTTGGGCTCTGCTTTCTGTTTTCCCTTTGTTTCTCAAGGATTTCTATTAACATTTAACACTCAGCTGCTCTCCTGGCCTCCATCTGCCTCTGTTTCTCTGACCCGTTTGGGTCTGTGGAGCAGCTTGGCTCTCCCCATGCTTTGCTGTGGGCTCTGGTACAGGAGGGGCTTGTGCCACCACCCTGCCGTTCCCCTGTCCTCCCCGGAGCTGGGGTTGTTCCTGCTGCCCCGTGGCAGGTAAGCGTGCACCCCTGCATGGGGGAGCAGCTCCTGGTGCAGCTGCTGGGGTCTGGGGTCTGCCTTATGTCCTCGGGACTCTCCCGCAGACCAAGGGGGGACAGAGCAGCCCAGCCTTGCAGCAGGGGAAGGGAGGGTTGGATCCCCTGAGCTGTCCCCTTTCCATTTTGGGTAATTTCCCCCCAGCCTGGCAGGGAGGGGGATGCTGAGCGCTTGGGTGGGTTTGGGGGGGGGACCAGGGGAGGTGCTGAGCCCCGTGCGTGGGCTCTGGGGCTTGCAGAAAGCTCTTCCCTCCCCTCTCCCCGCAGCCCCCCGCAGCTGAGCCCTGTTTCTCCGGTCTCCTTGGTGACAATCTCATCGCTCCTCGGCTTCTCTCCAGCACCTGAAAATAGCTGCCGAAAGCGGAGATGCCTTCTCCCTTCCCCGCTGCCAGCACCCGCTGGTGGCCAGGCTGGAGCCAGGCTGCCCGGCTCTCACCACAGCTGTAAGGGCCCAACCCCATCCCACCCCTGCACCGCTGTGGGGCAAGGGACACCCGGGACCCCCCCCCCCAGGACTGGGGCAGCCACTCTGTCCCCCTGTCAGGGCGGAGGGCCCCCCGGCCCCCCCCCCCCCAGGACTGGGGCAGCCACTCTGTCCCCCTGTCACCCCAATCCTGCTGGCCTGTCCCCAGCACCGAGCACCCCCTCCTTGGGGTGACACCGGGGGACAGGGATTTTGCTCCTTGCACCCCACTGCAGGCCAGGGCCCAGCTGTCCCCCCGGGAGTCAGTTGGAGCCACTTTGTCCCCTTGGCCCAGCAGCCACCAGCCCCGCTCGCCCACACGGCTGCTCCCTGGCCGCTGCGGCAGGCGGCCAAGGGGTTATTTGAACCTTCCTGAAATAGCAATGGAGCCGGGAGCGAGCGGAGGGAGGGAAGGGTGGGCAGGAGTGGGTGGCCCGGCGGGCGAGGAAGGAGGTTCCCCGGCTGTCCCCACCGTGAGACCCGGGGTGACCAGGGACGGCTGAACCTGGCAGCGGGACCCCGGGCAGGGTCAGGGCATCACGGGGGACAGCGTGTCCCCAGCTGCTCTGGTTGCCGCCCACCCCCAGGGAAGGATCCAGCCCTCCTCCAGCATCCCCAGGGCCAGCGCTGTCCCCGGGGGGACACGGTCACCCCTCTCGGGCCGGCTGCTGGGGGGTCGCGGGGTGGCGCCGTGGTTTCGGTGCGTGTGTGTCGTTTCCCCCCCCCTCCCCGCGGTGGCGGGGGCATGGCTGGCATTGCTCGCTGACACCCTATCTGCCAGGGCCCCGCCAGCCGCGGGCCCAGAATAGCAGCGCTGCCCCGCAGTCAGCATGGAGCGACTCCCCGGCCCCACTGCGCCCCAGGTACCGCCGGGGCGGGTGGGGGGCCCGGCCCGACAGCCCCCCAGCTATGGGGACGGGACACCCTCGGGGTGGGGGGACGTGAGGGGCTGGCACCCCCTCTTCGCACGATTGGGCAGCCATGAGGACAAGGACACGGAGCACAGTCTGACCCGCCTGCCTGCTCCTGCTGTCCCCAGCCCCTTGGGAAGGGTTGGGGTTGGGGGGTGTTGGCGTAGGGTCACCTTCTTCCTGGGGTTGGCTCTGGGCTCCTTAAGGAGCAGTCCCCGTGCCTTTGTTATTGTAGGGTGGCTCGTAAACATTGGCTCTGCCAGTGGGTTTGTGGTCCGGGGTTGCTCTTCCCGCCGCCTGTGCTGCTTTGTTATGGTAGGGTCTCCCGGGGACCAGGGGGCATGAGGTCAGCTGGACGGCTGTGCCCATCTCTGTCCCACCTGGGGCTGCCCCCCTTGTTATTGTAGGGTCTCCCAGGGTGGACCTGGTCCCCGGAGGGCAGGTGGGGCTGGCGGGGCTCCCGGCACGGGAGGAAGCAGGACCGGGATTTACACCTTGGGGTCGGAGAAGGGAGAGGACGGGTGCGGAGCCGCTGTGGGATGCACTCGGCTCTGATAATGGAGAGAGGAACCAGGGGGTCCTCCCTCCCCTCCCCTGGTCTGAGGACCCCAACTGCACCCCCCAGAGCCTGGGGACAAGCTGGGTGTCCTGGGCTGGAGCCACCAGAAGCAGCAGGTTCTGGGGGTCTTGGTTGGGTGGGGGACTCCCCAGGGAGATGGGGGCTGAGCCCAGCCTGCATCTTCACCCCAAAAGGATGGTCCCCTCTGCCCGGCTTCGGGGGGAACTGGGGTAGCTGGGTGGGTGCAGACAGCACCCATGGGTGGGGGAGAGGCTGGGCTGACTTCTGCTGATTCCCCCTCGCTGTGTGTCCCTTCAGGTGGCGTTGCTGGATGCCACTGCCTGCCCCGAGGAGAAAGGTGGGTAGTGGGCAGTGCTGAGGCTCATAGGAAGGGGGGGACCTGGCTCACTCATGCAATTAGCATGTCGGTCCTCTGCCCACCCAGCCCATACCCCTTGATGCCCCACTCCTCAGCTCCTTCCCAGCAGCTCCTGGTGCCCCCAGGCTGGAGAGCTGCAGTGCTGTGGTCTGTCAATGTGGAGGGGGGAACAGGATAGTCTGTGGGGAGCACCCCCTCCCTCAGCATCCCCCCTGCTCCCCCCAGGCAGGAGAGCACTGTGACCCGGCAGCTCAGCTCACCAGCCAGGGCTGGGGTAGGGGGGTTGCCCACAGGGTTCCCAGAGGCCCTGTGCCCCAGGGAGGATGGGGAGGAGGAAGAAGAGGAGGAGGAAGAGGACAAGCGCAGGAGCCCGAGACCTGTCACCTTCACGCTGGGCAATGAGATGCTGGGGCTGGGCCCGGGCCCCGAAAGTGAGTTTCAGACCCCTGACGCCGAGGTCTACATGCACTTCCTGAGGAGCCACTGCTGCTACGACGCCGTCCCCACCAGCTGCAAGCTCGTTGTCTTCGACATCTCCCTGGAGGTGACAAAGCGGGGGATCAGCGGGGCATCAGGGCAGGGAGCAGGCTCAGGAATGCCCTGACCCCCTTCCGACTCTCCCGGCAGATCAAGAAAGCCTTCGTGGCACTGGTGGCCAACGGGGTGCGTGCCGCCCCGCTCTGGGACAGCAAGAAACAGAGCTTTGTGGGTGAGTGCCGGCAGCGCCACCTGACCCCTTCCCCTGCCTGGCAGTAAGGGGTGCGGGCAGCGCTGCCAGCCCCACGTGTCTCCGCAGGGATGCTCACCATCACCGACTTCATCAACATCCTCCACCGCTACTACCGCTCGCCCCTGGTGAGTGTGGTGGGGAGGGTGTGGAGGGTCAGGGGGCAGCATGGGGCTGGCATGGGCTGTCCCCACCTCTCCTGGTCCCCCTCTTCCCTCTCTTGGTCCCCTCTTCGTCATTGGGGGTTGCTCTGGGCCAGCCCAGTGTCTGCTTGGTGCCCCTCTGCCCAGCACCCAAGATGTGGTCTCCGTGCTCAGGGTGGTGGGGTGGGATGTCCAGGGAAGTGGGAATGCCCCAAAGCCCCCTCAGTCCTCCATGGGGCCACCATGACCAGGGCATCTCCCTGCCCTCAGGTTCAGATCTATGAGGTGGAGGAGCACAAGATTGAGACCTGGAGAGGTAAAAAACTGGGGACAATGGGGGTTGCTGGGCTGGGGATGTCACACAGGGCATGGAGCTGGGCTCCAGGAGTGCGGGATACCCCCTCTCCCACCTCTCTCCTTTGGCAGAGGTGTACCTGCAGGGCTCCTTCAAGCCACTGGTCTACATCTCCCCAAGCAATAGGTGAGGAGCTGCGCACTGGGAGAGAGCACGTCCCATGGGGGGGTGTGCCCGGGAGGCAGCCCTATCCCCCCCACGGTGTCACTGTCACCCACAGCCTCTTCGATGCTGTCTACTCCCTGATCAAGCACAAGATCCATCGCCTGCCTGTCATCGAGCCCGTCTCAGGCAATGTCCTGCACATCCTGACGCACAAGCGCATCCTCAAGTTCCTCCACATCTTCGTGAGTGCTGGGGCCGTGTGTGCACACACACGGCGGGTGTGTAGGGGCACAAGCAAGGGTGTCAGGTATGCGTAGGTGCCAGCCCAGCCCTGCCCTGCCCTGGCACAGGGGTCCACCATCCCCAAGCCACGCTTCCTGAAGAAAACGGTGCAGGAGCTGTGTGTTGGCACCTTCCGTGATGTGGCCGTTGTGCCTGAGACCGCCCCCATCTACACCGCCCTGGAGATCTTCGTGGACCGCCGTGTCTCTGCCCTGCCAGTCATCAACGATGCTGGTACCTGGGGAGGGGGACCAGCAACCCCCTCATCTCCATCTGCCAGTGGCTCCGGCCCCATCCCCACCCAAAACCCCCCTCCTGGCCCTTGGGCTGCCCCTTGAAATGCAGGTGGGTGGTCCCCAGGGCCCCTTCCCCAGCCCCTGCGCTGTCTCTCCTTGCAGGGCAAGTGGTCGGCCTCTACTCTCGGTTCGACGTCATTGTGAGTACCCTGTGTGTTTGCGTGCCTGGCACGACTGTGGCCCCTTGCACACTGCTGGTGGGGTGCTCACACCTGCCTGTGCCCATGCAAATGTGCCCCAAGTACGCCGATACTCGTGCCGGTGTAGATCTGCCCTCTGTGTCACTGGGGCTCGGTGTCAGCACAACGGGGTGCGAGGACGTGTTGGGGCACTGAGAGGTGCCACCTCTCCCGCAGCACCTGGCAGCCCAGAAGACCTACAACAACCTGGACATCAGCGTGCGGGAGGCGCTGCGGCAGCGCACCATCTGCCTGGAGGGGGTCCTCACCTGCTACCCCCACGAAACTATGGAGGACATCATCGACCGCATCGCCAAGGAGCAGGTGAGCAGCTGGGACACCTCATGCCGGCGCCAGCCCCCTCCCCTGCCCCGCTGCCTGAGCTGCCTGCGATGCTCTGCCTGCATCCACAGGTCCATCGCCTGGTTCTGGTGGATGAGAATCGGTACCCGCGGGGCATCGTCTCCCTCTCCGACATCCTCCAGGCCCTTGTGCTCACTCCTGCAGGTATCGATGCTCTTAACTCTTAGCCCGTGACGCTCCATCTTTCTCCACTTGCACCCTCCATTTCTCTCCACTTCAGGTAGGCGCCGTCCCCTGCCACTGCGTGCCTGTCCCCTCCCCGCCGCTGGGCCACCCGCACCTCCCTGCTCGGGCCATCGGCCTCCACCTCAGCCAAATTGGCCCCAGGGGATGGAGGAGGCTGAGGTTGGGGTCCAGCACCCCCAGGTCGGGGTGGCAGGACCTGGATGCTGCGCTTGTCCCCGAGGACACAAGGATCACAGGGGATCCCTTCTGGGATCCTGATCCCTGGTGTCCATGAGGAAGGATGTGGGCACCTGCCACGGAGACACCCCCAGGCCCCCACCCAGGCAGCACGTGGGATGCAGGTTTTGCAGGTCCCTGTGCTTTGGGCTGGAGGAGGGTTTTAGTCTGTGATGCACCCCAAGACTCTTTTTTGATCTTGTCCCTCCTGAGACCTGAGCCCCTCCAGTGCTGTTCCGGGAGGGGTGGGAGGGACAGAGGGGACAGACCCCCCCCACTCGCACAGCCCAGACGTGCTGCTTGCCACTAGCTGTGTGTACGTGTGTGTACAATGGTGGCTGACCCATTGGCCATGGTTGGCAGAGCCCACTGCCCCCTCTGCCCATGGTGGCCCCAAAACTGTTTGTTCTGGGGATGGGGCTCACTCCTGTGCTGGGACTGTGCTGCCTGGCCACCTGCGCCTGGCTCTACTCACCCACTGCCTGGTGAGTCCTCACTGGTGATGGGTGGGCATGGCACTGGCACCCACCGTAGCACCCATTTAGGGGTGAACTGTGGAGGAGCTGGCCCCAATGTCCAGCTGCTTCCTAAAGGTAATGATGCTTTTTTTGGGGTGGTGGTGGGAAACGAGCTTGGGCCACTCCATGCCCACCCTTGTGCCCACTCACTCCCCCAGAAATGCCCAGTTGCTCCATGGAGAAAGGGACTGGGGAGGTGGTGTGTGTTGACACAGCAGATGTGGGACACACCTCCCCCCCATTTCCCCATCACGGTGCCTTCACTCACCCCATCCCTGCTGCGCACAGGGGTGGCTGTGCTGGGGGGACCACTGGGCTGTCCCCCCCTCCAGGCCAGCATCCCCCTCCTACCCCAGGGCTTGCACCCAGGGGTGGAGGCAAGACCCTGCTGTCTCCGTGGCCACTAGGGCAAGTTGGAGGGCCGTGTCGCAGGGTGCCCAGCCCAACACCGGTGCCTGCTGGGGACTTATGGCCTCACGCTCTCTCTTGCCCCTCAGGCATCGACCGATTCTCACTCTGAAGACACCAGGGAAGTGCCGTCATCTCGTCCAACCCGGGGGTCTCTTGCATGGCCCTGGGGCCATGGAAGGAGGCTTGGGCCCCGGAGGCTCTCCGCCTGGAGGGGCTGCCCCGGTCCTGGGGCTCGTCTTGAGTCTGGGGCCAGATCCTGCCGGCCTCGGGGAGGCAGGGAGCAGGGAAACGGGGGCCCCGGGGCTGCCTCCTGCCAGCGAGCACACGGTGAAACTCAATGGGCACCGTGCCCCAGGAGCCATGTCATGCCCGCAGCTGGGCACGGGGACCTGCGTGGCCCCAGGGGACGCGGCCACCCCTCTCCCACCCTGCTGCCGGATCTGAGCGCTTGGGCTGCGGCTCCCCCGCGGCCAGCACGGTCCTGCCAGCGGCACCCGGTGCCCGGTAGCGTAGGCTGAGCTGCACACACAGGCTTTGTTGTAGGGGGTCACGCAGGGCTGGAGCACCCTGGCAGAGGCACAGCCTGTGCCGGAGCTGGCGCCAGGGCGGGCACTTGCACGGGGAGCCTGTGCATGTTTTGGGGTGGGCGGGGGGTATTTATTTATTTGCTAGTCTGTTCAGCTTTGTTGTAATAAATAAAGCAGCCTGCTCCAGGAACTGCTGCCTCGCTTTTCTGGGGTGCAGATGGGCATGGTTCCTCCGAAGAGAGGTGGCTGAGGAGGGGGTGCCGGCTGCTTGGCAGAGCTGGGGCACCCAGCCTGGGATGCCCACTGGGATCTGCTTCAACGAGGGTGGTGTGAGCAGAGGCTGGCACGTCTGCCCACCTGGGTAGAGCCAGGGACACGGGGACATTGGCTCACCATAGGTCATAGAGCCTTGATGGCTCCACTGTGGCAGTGGTTAGTGGGTCCCTTCAGGGACATACTGGGCACAGCAGCCTTGGTACCAGTAGGGTGTCTGCCTGCTGCTTGCCCCCAGTCCAGCTGGGCTCCCCAGCAGCAAGAAGGTGAGGGGGAATGACCATGGGGGTGCCCTGTACCCCCGTCCTCCCGGAACTCAAGCTCCCCTGTCTGTGGCTGCTGCCAGCTCTGAGCCCCTGCAGTGGCCCTGGGTGACAGCCAGATTGGGGACCGGGGGAGCTGAACTGATCCTCTCTGCTGATTTGCCCAGAGCGAGTCCTGCCCCTGTTCCTGTGCCCCCCATATCAGCATCTCGGTGAAATAACGGCTGATAGCAAAAGGTCTCGGGTGCTCCACACCCCCCATGTGGTGGCTGGCCCTGCCAGTGCCTGCTGGTGACATGATGCCAGCACTGGGTGGTGACAGGCCCCCCTCCCCATCTCAGGGGACATCGCTCTGCTTGCCCAGGGCCAGGGCTGGCTCCAACCCCCAAACCCCCGCTGGCAGCTCAACCCTCCCCGGGGAGGCAGAAGGGAAACTGAGGCACGGAGAAGTGGCTGAGGCCAAGGTCAGCTGTTCAGAGAGGACCCAGACATCCTGGCTCCAGGCACAGATCCACGCGCAGCTACACAAGGACGGGACGAAGGAGACACCGAACGGCTGCAAGCCCCCTCCCCGCATACCCCCCCAACCCTGGCAGAGCTCCCGGCTCCCCGACGCAGCCCAGCTGGGCACGGGATGGGGGGGAGACACAACCCCTCCCAGCGTGTGAAAGGCACAGCAGTTCCCCAAGCCTCCTGCTGATTCGGGGTAGGGGGACACTAGTGCCCCAGGGGCGATTTGGAGGCATCTCTCATTCCCCCCTCACCTTCCCCACAGTGGGGCTGGGAGCCCCCCCATCCCAGTCGGGCAGGGGGTGGGTGAGAGGGTGGGTTTCCCTTCCTGCCCCTCCTCGTGGGGCAGCGGGGGTCCCCGCTTGGTGCCCGGGGTGGGTGCGCAGTCAGGGGGCCCCCGGGCGAGCAATGAACTCCAGGTTGATGGGCTTGTCGGCCACCAGGACGATGCGGGACACGGATGTCACCTCCACGCCGCGAGGGTCCGGCCGCACTTCGAATGCCTGGATGATCTGTAGGGAGAAGGGGGTGGCAGTGCCTCAGGGACCCCCTGAGCTCCCCATCCCAGCTTGTGGCGGAGTTACCCAGGGCGGGGGGATCCCTACTCACCCTGGCGAGGGCCAGGTGCATCTCCAGCTCAGCGATGCGGCGGCCAACGCAGGCCCGGACCCCGTAGCCGAAGGGAATGGAGCTGAAGGGGTGGTGGGGGGAGCCATGGCCCCGGAGCCAGCGCTGGGGCAGGAACCGCTCGGGCTCGGGAAAGTAGGTCTCATCATGGGACATTGCGTAGTGTGCCAGGACAAAGAGGGTCTGCAGGGCAAGAATTGTTGGGGGGGAGGTTAATGACCCCCGCCAGGCCCCACTGAGTGCAGCAGGAGTCCCCATGGCATGGCCCCCACTCACGTTCTTGGGGAAGAGGTAGTCTCCGATGACAATGTCCTTCTCATAGAAGACCCTGGCGTTGGTGGGCACCACGGGGTAGACCCTAGGATATGGGGAGAGTTAGTGGGGGAGCAGGACCCATCTGGGGAACCCCAAGGGGAAAGAGCCAAAGGCAGGACAAGGGAGAACATCTCCTGGCTGCTCAGCGGCTGCTTCCTTCTCCCCAGGGAGGATGCGGACGGATGTGGACCTGAAGGACTGAAATCCAGCCCTGCACCATCTCTGGTTGGTGCATTCCCCAACATGGGGGAAGAAGGGACTGCCCATGGGGAAGGGGTCAGTGACAGGGACCCTGGGACAAGGACAAGGCTGGGCTGTACCTCAGCGTCTCCTTGATCACGGCCCGAAGCATTGGCATCTTGGGGATATCCTCAGCACCAGGATACCGGTCGGCAGGCACGACGGCTTTCAGCTCCTGGTACAGGGTCTCCTGGATGCCCGGATCCCGGGAGAGGTGGTACAGGGCCCAGGACAGCGTGTTGGAGGTCTGGGGGAGGAGAGCACAGAGTCGAGTGAGGGAGATGGGAGCAGTACCCAAACAGCCTTGTGCCAAGTTGTGGCACTAGGACAGCACCAGGGAGCCCCTGCCCCGGTGCACAGGGAAGCCAGGGGTTAGGGGCAGTGAGCACGGGGGAAACTGAGGCAGGGAGCAGGGCATGGTTTGTGGTGACCGATTCCTGAGGGTTTGCACCTGTGGAGCATCTACCAGCCCCCCCAACTACCAGCCCAGAGCTTGTAGGGTCTGTGGAGTACAGCTGAGCATGGCCCCGTGGCTCCCCCCCAGCACGGAGCTTGGTGGGGATCCCTCAGGTGGCAACTGCCCAGCTCTCACCGTGTCCACGCCGGCCAGCAGCAGCTCGGCCACGCTGCCGTAGACCTCATCCAGGCTGAGCCTGCCGCTGGCCAGCAGGTAGCTCAGGTAGCCAGACACCTCCTTGCCCCGCTCCACCTGCCCCTCCAGCTCCTCCATCTTTCGGTCAATCAGGGTCTTGCCTGTAGGGACAAGAGAGTGGGACCCAGCGCTGAGAAGAGCGAGAATGGCCCAAAGGACAGGAGGCTGGGGACTGCCCCACCTTTGAAGGTCCTTCAATCCCACCATGTGGGCTCCCCATCATCACCACTCACCGAAGGCGAAGATGGTGTCCCAGCTGTTCAAGTAGCGGTCCCAGTAGGGCAGCACCTTGCGGCTCCATCGGGGCAAGACGGTGGCAAAGATGGAGTTCTTGAACATGAGGTTGATGGAGTCGATGAAGCGCTGGGTCTCGGCGGGGACCTGCTGCTTCAGGCACCCAATGCGGGTCTCGAAGAGGATATAGGAGATACCTGCGGGAGAAAGGCCTCATCCAGACCCCTGTGGGGATGGGAAGAGTGGGGCAGGGTGGGGGCGAGGGGGAGGACCCCCCTACCTTCCAGGGCGAAGCGGTAGAGCAGGTTGGCCACGTCCCCCACCAGCACCCCCGAGGGGCTGCGGCTCCGCTCGTCCCGCAGCCGCACCATCAGGTCCGACACCACCTCCCCGATGGCGTCCGCGTACAGCACCGCCTCCGAGGGCTTCAGCAGCCGCTTGTTGAGGACCTGGCGCAGGCGGTACCAGCGCTCCCCTTCCCTGCACGGGGACAGGGCTCAGCGCCGGGGGCACGGCCGGGCAGAGGGCAGTGGCTGGCAAGTTCCCCAGTCCCTAGGGGTGGGGGCATCCTCCCCGTGCCAGGCTGGAACCATGCTGAGGCTCTTTCCACCACCATCCCCCACCCCCCATGACCATGCCCTTCTGCTTGTGGGGGAACACACTGCTTGCAGGAGAGGGAACAATGTGAGCTGCCACCTGGGGTAGGGACAGGAGCCACGTGCCACCCCACAGAGCGCAGCCAGGGCAGGACTCACTCGGTGAAGGGTCCGTAGGGCAGGCGCCGCGTGTCCCGGTGCTCCTTCCACAGGGCCATGTCGCTCCGCATGGGGTACTTGCCCTCCTGCCGTAGCAGCTGCTCCAGCACCACCGGGCTCCCGATGTTAATGTTCTCATAATGCCCGAAGGTTGACTTCCAGATAGGGCCATAAAGGCGCCGGGACATCAGCTGGGATGCACCAGAGCACAGCAGGGTGAATGGGATGGGGCCAGCACTGCGGCAGGATCAGTCCCTCCCTGCCCCGATGCTGTCCTGCGTGTGTCCAGCATGCCCTGCACCCATCCTGGGGGACCCTTCAGCACCAGCTGGGCCCAAGCTCTGACCACCCCCAAGCTGGCACCATCCTTGAAGTGCTCTGCAGGTGGCCTGGGCTGGTGCCTCCAGGCTCATGTCCTTTGCCAGCACTAAGCGCACCAGGCACCGATCCCCAGCACAAGCTGGCACAACCTTCACCCACCCCAGAGATGCACAGAGGGTCTGGTGGGTCTTGTGGGCAAGCAAGACTAAGAAGGGACAGCAGGGACAGGGACAACTGCCAAGCGCAGGGCTCTGCTAAGATGCAGGGACATGGCAGTGGCTGTCAACAGGTTAGAGCCCCACTGCTTCCAGCACGGCCCCAGCCATGCTCTGCTCAACCTGGGGGCAACAGTCCCTAGGTGGGTCCTTGAACCCAACTCCCGATAAGGTTGGTTAATGATCAGTGGTGGGAGGGCAGGACTGAGCTGCTCCCAGGGCAGCTTGCCACCCGTAGGGCATGGCCCTGGGGCCATGGGCTCACAGGCCAGCTAGAAGACATCCATCAGCCCTGCTCTGGGCTCTGCTGGCCACAGCTCCCCTCTCTTCAGCTGTACCCAAGGGTGCCATGCCTGCATCCCCACTGGGGAGCACGGTGACCCCCGAGTGCATCCCTCGGGGGCAGCTGGGCACCCCTTTGCAAATGGATCTACACGGGGCCATGTCCAAGGGTGCTTTCCATCCCACCCAGGCACCACCAGAGCCTCTGTGGAGCAGGGCCAAGCCCGGGGGGCTGTGGGGCGACCCAGCCGGGAAGCCCTGGTACCCGTTCCCCGCGGCTGCGGGGATGCACGTGGTACAATCTCCCTTGGTGACTGACTGCATCGCAGCCTGCGCCCGGATTCAGCTGGATTCGTCACCGCGGGGAGACGTTCCTCGCGTGTGGTGGCAGGAGGAGGGGGAGGGACGGCCGCCCCGGTGCCGCAGGCGGCTTGCCGGGCGAACACGCTGTGTGGGGCCGTGGGCAGCCGTGAAACCTGCCCACCGGTGCCTGCTGGCAG